ACCAGCAACAAATCACTGTTTTGAATAGCTTAAATCGCTTAAACATTCATGTTCAACATCTACCCCATATTTCAACTTCATCCCCATATTCTTCCATATAGTGTTTTTTGGCAATATGTTTATAATGTTCTATATCATTCTAATAGTGCTTATTTTTCCATATATGTGGATACCTTTGCCCATCTTCCCATTATTTCCCCCGGTTACAACGCCTCGTAGCCACGACCATTTTGCTGCTGCCGGTGTTGTCCGGCCTGCCAGGCCTGAGATGTTCTCCAGGATGACCGGCAAAAGAGGCTTATGTTTGAGGGGGCGCATATATATATAATATATATATAATATATATATAATATATATATATAATATAAATATATATATATATATATTATATATAATATATATAGTATAAATATATATTATATTATAAATATATATTATATATATAATATATATGTATATATTATAATATATATATATATGATATATGGGTTCTGATTTTTGTTGTTTTTCAGTCTGGGGCACTGTTCCTTGTTATTTGCTACATTTTGGAGCAAAAACCTGTACTTTGCTGAATTTTGGGAGCTAAAATTTGCCATTTGCACTTTTCATCGATTTTTCCATGGCGTTTATTGATTTACCCAAAGTGTTTATCCATTTTTCCATAGTGTTCATTGAGTTTCCCACGGGTTCAATTCATTTTTCCATGGTTTCAAACATTTTTTCCATGCATAACATGCACCTGGTGAACATGTAGAATACAGGTTGAAGCACAACCGTGTTGGGTCTAAGTAGTGGCATTGGATGCTATCATAGTGTTGGTTGGTTTAGGGTTTATTTGGGGTTGGTTTAGGGTCATTTAGGATTGGTTTAGGGTTGGTTTAGGGTTTATCCAAAATTATTTAGCGATGGATGGTTTAGGGTTATTTAGGGTTGGTTTAAAGTTTATTTAAAGTTGGTTTAGGGTTTATTTAGGGTTATTTAGGGTTGGTTTAAGGATTTAAGGTTGGTTTAGGGTTTATTTGGGGTTGGCTTAGATTTATTTAGGGTTGGCTTAAGGTTGATTTAGTGTTGGTTTATGGTTGGTTTTGGGTCATTTAGGCTTGGTTTAGGGGTGGTTTAGGGTTTATTTAGGGTTGGTTTAGGGTTTACTTAGGGTTGGTTTAGGCTTTATTTAGGTTTGGTTTAGGGTTGGTTTAGGGTTATTTAGGATTGGTTTAGGATTTAGGGTTGGTTTAGGGACTATTCAATGTTGGTCCGCCAACGCAGGTGGCGCCCAAGGCAAACCTGGGCAATAACCAAACCTTTCTCTTTCTGGGGGGGCCACGCCCTAATCCCCAATTCTTAAGTGTTTCCGTCAAGGACGGCTGCCTTTTATTTAGCTTTGTCTATGTTTTTCGTTAAACCCGGACCTAGCTTTTCCTAAGCCGGCCCTCCTCGCCTAGCAGTCCCTTCTGACCCTTTCTAAGCGGCTTCTTCTTTGCGCCCGGCCCCCTTTCTAAACTACCCGGGCAACCCTTTCTAAGCGGGTTTTGTGACAGCCCCCCCCAGCCGGCCCCCCTTTCCTTTTTAGGCAAGCCTCTGGGGGCCTCAAATTTTACAATTTTTGACATTGAATCTGGGCAGGGCTCTGGGCCCGCAAATTTGGCAATTTTGGAGCTGAACTTTTGGGCTGAATCTGGGCAGGGCTCTGGGCCTCAAATTTGGCAACTTTGGGGCTGAATCTGGACAGGCTCTGGGTCTTTTAAATTGCTATTTTGGGGCTGAATCTGGGCAAGGCTCTGGGCCTCAAATTTGGCAATTTTGGGGCTGAATCTGGGCAGGGCTATTGCCATTTTGGGGCTGAATCTGGACAAGGGGGCTGAATCTAAGCAAGGCTCTGGGCCTTTTAAATTGCCATTTTGGGGCTGAGTCTGGACAAGGCGCTGGGCCTCAAATTTGGCCATTTTGTGGCTGGAATCTAGGCAAGGCTCTGGGCCTCAAATTTGGGGCTGAATCTGGGCAGGGCTCTGGGCCTTAAATTTGGCCATTTGGGGGTTGAATCTAAGCAAGGCTGGTGGCCTTTTAAATGGCAATTTTGGTGCTGAACCTGGACAGGGCTCTGGGCCTCAAATTTGGCAATTTTGGGTTAAAACAACGATTTTAGGGTTAAAGGATTTGAGGGTTAAAGGAGTTTGGGTTAAGGGATTCTAGGGTTAAATGATTTTAGGGTTAAACGATTTTAGGGTTACAGGATTTTAGGGTTAAAGTATTTTAGGGTTAAAGGATTTTGGGTTCAGGGATTCTAGGGTTAAATGATTGTAGGGTTAAACGATTTTAGGGTTACAGGATTTTAGGGTTAAAGTATTTTAGGGTTAAAGGATTTGAGGGTTAAAGGATTTTAGGGTTAAAGGATTTAGGGTTACGGGATTTTAGGGTTAGAGGATGTTAGTGTTAAAGGAATCTAGGGTTAAACGATTTTAGGGTTACAGGATCTTAGGGTTGAAGGATTTTAGGGTTACAGGATTTTAGGGTTAACGGATTTTAGGGTTAAAGGATGCTTTAAAAATGGCGGCTTATAGGATCTTACCGGCATCAATAACAATGAGAAGAAGACGAAGAACCAGAAACACATCAACGACAACGACAACAACAACAACAACAGCAACAGCAACAACAACACCAACACCAACAACAACAATCAAAACAATACAACAACAACAACAACAACAACAACAACAACAACAACAACAACAAACAAAACAACAACAACAACAACAACAACAACAACAACCAACACAACAACAACAACCAACAACAACAACATACAAAAACAAACAAACAACAAACAACAACACAAAACAACAACCAACAACCAACAACCAACAACCAACAACCAACAACAACAAACAAACAACAAACAAAAACAACAAACAACAAACAACAAACAACCAACAACAACAACAACACAACAAACAACAAACAACAAACAACAAACAACAAACAACAAACAACAAACACCAAACACCAAACACCAAACAACAAACAACAAACAACAAACAACAAACAACAAACAACAAACAACAAACAACCAACAACCAACAACCAACAACCAACAACAACAACAACAACAAGAACAACAACAACAACAACACCGAGAATAATAATAACAACAACAAAGAAAGCACCAAAAAGCAACTCGCCTTATAAAGAACCTGTGTTGGCGCCAAAGTGCCGCCAGGCCTAAAAGTTTAGGGTTTATTCAGGGTTATTTAGGGTTGGTTTAGGGTTATTTAGTTAAGGGTTCGTTTAGGGTTTATTTAGGGTTGGCTATGTCTGGTTTAAGGGTTGGTTTAGGTAGGGTTTATTTAGTTATTTAGGGCCATTTAGGGTTATTTAGGGTTGGTTTAAGGTCCAATTAAAGTCTGTTGAGGGTTGGATTAAAGTGCATGTAGGGATACAAGGTGTGTATATTAAAAAAGAAGAAACGAAAGAAAAACAGATAGATGGATGGATCGATAGATGAGAAGATTAGATTAGAGTAGATTAGATTACATTACATTAGATTAGATTAGATAGATAGATAGGTAGATAGATTAGATATATTAGATAGATTAGGTAGATTAGATAGATAGATAAGATAAGATTTGATAATATTAGATAAAATAAGATAAGATTAGGTTAGATTAGATTAGGTTAGATTAGATAACTAGATAGATAGATAGATAGATAGATAGATAGGTAAAGCATGGCAAAGCATGGTAAAGCATGGTAAAGCCACAAAAGCCACACACACACAAAATCCACAGAAGCCACAAAAGCCACGCTGGAAAACAATAAAAATCAACAAACATAGTCCTCCTATATATTATATATACATACATACTATACAGTATATATACCTATAATGTTCTATGTGTATATATATAATATAAAGTTATACGTTATAAATCCGTACTTGATTATGATGTTATATAATGTTGGGCTTTATATAATATAGTATCATGAGTATCATGTATATAACCCATACTTTTTTGGAGGAGGGTAATATAGATAATCCCATCCCCAAATGACCATGGGAAGCCAAGTATGCTGTGACTAAACCCTAAGGAGGGTCATATAAGAAGTAGAGCAGGTCTAAAAGGGACATGTTTAGCTGCAGTAGGTGTTGGAGTTGTCGGACTTCCCAACACTTTCTGTATTTCACATACCCATTCTGGCGGAGACGGAGGTGTGGCACAGGCTGCACATTTGGTGCGTGGTAAATTTTGAGAACGAAATCTCCAAGCGAATGTGCGACCACATTTGCTGCACCATAAGCGGCCAAACTTCTCCAGGCTATTGGGGTCCTTTCCCAGTTTTCTATTCCAAACCAAGGTGTGCTGCAGCTTCCGATTGTATGCGCTGTTCAGTTTGTGTTCCACTGCATCAAGTCGAGCTGTTGCATTCATTTTACCTGGAAGTTGGACCCAAGAGCTTGGTGGTAAATCTGGGTACAGGCAAGGTTGCTGCAAAATTCTTGTATTCAGGTGTTCCAGTCGGGCAGTTTGTTTGCCGCACTTCACACAATAGGCCCCGGTGCCATGGTATCATATGCGATGGCCACGCTGTTCACGATCAGAACTCGCCCCCATACTTGCTGGGAGGGAACTGGATGATGCTGTTCGCCTCCTGCAGTTCCTGCAGCTTGGCTCGCGCCGAGAACAGGTCCTCCGGCTGGATTCGAAGAATAACCATCGACATGGCCATCGACGAATACATGGGTATGTAATCCAACTTTTCACCATGGCACTTGTATTTCGCACAAGGCATTTGATTTATAACCAAAATAAGGATGAAATAGGTCGGTGACAACGACATTTTTTAAATAATTGCGCTTTTTACGAAAGCCCAACGCAGGTGGTTCCGCGATCCTCAACACAAGCACTGCCAGCAATCAAATCAAGACTTCCTTGAAATTAATTTGATACTCTGGATGGAAGAAATCCTACACCAGTTGATAGGTGGTTTATCCCATTATTTGTAGGGTTTCAACCATCCAAGGTGGTGCAGGATTTCTTCCATCAACAGTAGTTCCACGCTTGTATAATCCTCATATTCATTGCGCTCAAAAATCAAAGCTGTGTAGATATCAGATCCTACACATACGATAGCTTTCTGTCCAATCCCGAACTACACATAGGATAGAAAAAAACGTGTGTCAATGGCCGCTGATTCACCTTGTTATGCAACAAAAGTCTCCTCTAAAATCCTCCTCTTGGCCTAGCACTGCACTAAACCCCTTTCTTCACCCATTGGTCCGCCTCAGCAAATTCCGTCTCTGGCATGCTCCCGCAATTCAGATGGCCTGTTTCAATGACAGATAGTTGAGAAATCAGGGAGTATTTCGATGGGAAATCTGGTTCTTACCATCCAAATGTTTTGTTCATGTTTTCTCCTGCAAAGTTCACAATCGTGGTCAATCCTGGAAGAACACAAGTACTTCACGCCACATGATTGTATACTTGATGAATGGTACTTAATGAATTAATGGTAATTAATGAATTAATCGTACTTAATGAATTAACAACAACAACAACAACAACAACAACAAAATGATGCTGCTTTTGAACATGGCAACTTGTGGGATTCCATGCGTAACGAGGGTGTACCCAACTTTGTGTGTGATCAGTTTTGATACCAACATCCAGCTGGTTGTGTTTTCCTCCGCAACTTGTAGTAGTTTAACTCAAAGGATCTCAGGCTATTCCTTGCCAATATAATATGCTTGCTCAGAATGAAGACACTGTACATTGATGAGGTGGTTAGATTGCTCAATGCCAACAAACAGCACCCAATTTTTGGAGTATGACACTTGTTAGCCCACATCATATTAAATATGGGTAAAACCCATAGGATCCATGTATGGTATATATGCCAACATTTGGGGTATATTGATGGTAAATGTTACCATATATAGCATACATGGATCCTATGGGAAATGGAGTACCAAAACATGGGAATTTTTCACTTTCTCAACTGACCATCTGCCTATATCTTCCGTCTGCGGTCCCTTGGATCTAAACAGACATCACATCTGTTTACATTCGCCTAGTTGTATCCTCAGTCTTGTTGGTGAAAAATATTGATCTTTTACCCTGTGCTTCGTTAGCATAACCATGGAAACTCACCATGTTTTGGTTTTTGAATATGTGTACATAATAGGTGTATAAATCGTCTACAAATGGGCCATGTTGTTGCAGTACTAAGCTAAATTACCAGAATGTAATTCTAAAAACATATCCGTTTAATTACATCCACCACTTTTTTGTTCATTCTATGCCAGTTATTGATAGCAAATCTCGCGTTTGTTGAGGGTGAAATCGTCTGCAACAGAAGGCATCCGTGACCCGTGCAACAAACATAAACTATATCAAAGTGTTGAATAGTTGAATAATATTGTTTCACCATAGTCAATATTATTTGATATAGATATATATATATAGATCATAGTTGTACAAAACATATGTTGAATATACTATTAATAATATTAATAATCCTGTTTTTTTTGATATGCTGTATTGATGTAATCCTCTCTGACACTGACATTTTCACGGATCACACTTTCTCTCCACCGTTGGATTGGACCTTCTTCGCCGCATTTCATACAGCGGCAGAAACTCATGTCATCCTCATGGTCGAACCTCGGAAACATCACGGCAGGTCAGTGTGGACCACAACAAAGCTGGGATTTCACCAAGAACAAACGTTGGGCATGTTATGAAAACAAAGAAAGCTGGGAACCAAACATATATATATATAGGATTATATAGGAGTGATACGAAAAAATATGGACGTTGAATGGCGTTAATCACATCAAACAATTGTGGATTCATGTGATTTCATAGGAGTACAAGGCGTAGTGGTGGTCGTTCCTCTTTAACATCACCCCGGCATACCCCGGCACATGGTGTAAGAATCCCGAACCCCAGTCATCTGCTGGGTGTTTAACGAAGTTGCACAGACTGCAGACTTCCCAAATGCTGAAGACATGTGAACATAAAAATACCTCATCATACCGATTGGAAAAGCCATCTGCACCTTCATGGTCCAGCGGGTCATTAGACTGACACATGACACAGACTCAACAACATATATCCACACATAGTCATCAGTATCCGATCCAAACGTAAACACATAAAATATCGTAAGATTACATTGTATGACATGATCAAACCATAAGCAAACTGTGTTTGCCTCCAGAAGGGATACCAACTTCCATGATTGTTCATGATCTACTGGTATAATCCTCTCAGTAAATATAGTTTTTGGGGTAGTAATCAAACATGGCTTGCTGGAAAATCCGCAAGTTTGGATGATTTTGCCAACTCAAAACCTCCATTTAGTTCGGGAAATGTCCATTGCCATGTTTGATTCCCAGAGAGTTTTTATACCAACTAACCAATGAACCAGCCATATTTTCATGGTCTATAGAGTCTATAGCACACATTTATGATACCCTCTGGTAATTTAACGTAGCTATTGAAAATGACCATTTATAGTGGATTTTCCCATTAAAAATTGTGATTTTCAATAGCTATATATGTTAAATTACCAGAGGGTAAATTCGGGGTGGATCCTGCTAAAAACCAACATTCGAGCCTCGGGTCCGTGCGTTTCGTATGAATCCAACGGGCACAAGTCCGAGAAGTGGCCCTGTCGGAAACACCTGCGGGATCTAAAAATGAGCATTCCATAGCTGGAACAGATGTGGAGTCATAGAGGTGGTAAACATATAGCCATGATTAAATGATTCATGGTATATGATATCATGGTGGTATATATATATATATCAATATATATCAGTAATTATCAGTATATATCAATATACCACTACTAAATGATATAGAGGTGGTGAAAAATGGATCAATTTTCATATCTGGTCTGCGAGATTTAAAAATTGAAGATTCGGAAGGATTCATGAAACATCATGATGCCCATCCCCTTTTTAAAGGACACTACAGTGAACATAGCCTCTGGTAAACGTTTATATACATAACTGTGGAAAATCACCATCTTTAATGGGGTAAATAAACTATAAATGGGCAATTTACCATAGTTATATTAGTTATGTTAGTTTACCAGAGGGTATGTTCACTGTAGTGTCCTTTTTATAGCTATGTTCAATTACCAGAGGGTAGCAGCGTGACCACGGCACACGTTTGTTGATCTTCAGGCCCCTGCGACTGCGACGCTGGCCTCTTACAGGAGATGTTCCTTTTTCGACACTCGCTCACCTCATGGCCTTGCTCAGAGCACACCTGGGAACGGGAGGGAGCGTCTATGTAATGGAAACTGGAAATGACGCGTATCTCATACATGATATGTATATATATATATATATATTAAATATTATTTAGATATATATATATATTATCCAACCACTGAATCTTAACAGTAAGATGGATATCAAGCCATTTGGCTTACACAACCGCCACTGCACCAAGAAGGGCCAGAAAAACTTCGCGACTTTACGACAACTCTGAGGCTCCCTACAAAACAGCGCTTAAAAATGCAGTCTTGGCTTTCGTGGTCCAACCTGATAGGCTTTAGGATGTGATTGGAACCCCCAATGAATATGTTGATGCTGATTGATCTTACCAGGCTGTTTGGTGCCTCTTGGCGCACAAACGATCTTGCAAGGATTGGGGGAAGATTGTAAAACTTGCAGTAAACCATGTTTTTCCAAACATGGGGGCGACAGCAGAATGTTCAACCAATACAAACCAGGGCATTTTGTCATACTGTAACTTTCATTTCAGTCATCAGTTGACGGGAGGTCCTCTGAGATTGAAGAACAGCCGCAAAAAAAGTACCCAAATTTTGTCACTGCTTCCATGGACGCAGCAGTCAAAATATTGCTACTCTAATAAGTGGTGTGACATAAGATATTTGGAGTGCGGGGGTTCACTGTCTACATGTCTCAGGGGTTTTATTTGGTTATATTATGGAACCCCTTGTGGATGTTCATCCACCAAAACATGGTATTTCAATGTATTTCATAGGTCTCTTGATCCATGCCCTGTTTTTGTTCGGGTTTTGTCTGGAAAATAGATGAACATAGGGAACCTCTCAATCCCTACCGTTGTGGGGCCTGATCGCCTAAGGTCCGCCCAGGGTCCCTGGGAAGCCATGCTTGCCACAGGCCCAGCAACCCGTCACCACTTTGTCGGCCATGACATCCTTTTCAAATGCAAAAGCCATTGCCACTCTGGTTGGGCACAGGCTTGATATTGTATATGTAATTGTATACATACATATGGTATATGAAGTCGATTCGGGTTGTGACACAATGACCATCTTTAGGTTTTGTTTAATATGGTTGATGACCAGTTCAAGGTTTAAGCGACTCCATCCAGGGAATCAATGGCTCGATTTAAATGGCTTGAACACTGGACCATATGAGTTTATTTGGAACACTTTTCCACTTATGATGATGATACAATATATACAATGCAGATCAATGCAGTGAGGGTGGAAGATGAAACTGGAGATCTTGCTGTCGGATGGAGAGCTCCCCTTTTTTTCATCATTTGCCAAACACCACGCCTTTGGCATATTTTTTTCATGATGTGAATTGCCAATCAGTGGATGACCCATAGGATCCATGTATGGTATATATGCTAACATTTACCATCAATATACCCCAAATGTTAGCATATTCCATACATTATCCTATGGGTGATTGGATGGACAAAACTTGGATTTCTATCAGAGGCCCCAAAAAATCCTTGCGCTTTGACCACGGGTGCTAGGAGTACTTGGTCGCAAATCCATGAAATCAAACGGCCAGGGGAGATGCCCAAACAACTTGTTAGTCTAGTTGGTTCCCAAATGTCCAATTCTTAGGGATGAACCGGGATGATGGGAACATACAGGAATGGTAACATATTTGACATCATCGCAGCATGTTCAACAGTTCACCAACATAATATATCATAATATATCATAATATATCATAATATATCGTAATATTAATATATTATAATATATCAGAATATATCAGAATATAATATAATATATCAGAATACATCAGAATATATCGTAATATATTATAATATATCAGAATATATCAGAATATATTATAAGGGTGTGAAATAGTTTTAGGATTTTTTTTTTGAGCAGGTTTGGGATTGTTTTTTGGATTTCTTGGCTGGTACCATTTGCCTAGTGTTTGCAACGGTTTGGAACTTGAATTTGTCATTTTGCATGGTATTTGCCACATTTGGGCATGTTCACCTTCCATTTTGCATGGGATTTACTACATGTGGGCATGTTCACCTTCCATTTTGTATGGTATTTGCCACATTTTGGCATGTTCACCTTCCATTTTGCATGGGATTTCCTACATGTGGGCATGTTCACCTTCCATTTTGTATGGTATTTGCCACATTTTGGCATGTTCACCTTCCATTTTGCATGGGATGTTCTACATGTGAGCATGTTCACCCAAATATTTACAGATGCGGAAGCTTGGGATTAGATAAAAAGCGGGTGGGGGGGATTGAGGGAGGGCGCTAGCTATCTAGCTAACTATCTAGCTATCTAGCTAGCTATCTATCTAGCTATCTATCTATCTAGGCCTATCTAGCTATCGCTAGCTAACTATCTATCTAGCTATCTAGCTATCTAGCTTTCTATCTATCTAGCTATCTATCTATCTAGCCATCCAGCTGTCTATCCAGCTATCTAGCTATCGAGCTATCTATCTAGCTATCTATCTATCTAGCTAACTATCTACCTATCTATTTAGCTATCTATCTATCTATCTATCTATCTATCTATCTATCTATTATAGCTATCTATCTAGCTACCTCTTTATCTAGCTAGCTAGCTATCTATCTATCTATCTAGCGATCTATTCGCATCATATATCGATCTAATCTAGCTAAGCAGCTATCTATCTATCTAGCGCACTATCCTTCTATCTCTATCGATCTATCTATCTATCTAGCTATCTAGGTATCTAGCTAGCTAGCTATCTATCTAGCTAGATATGATCTCAATCATCTATCTATCTAATCGAATCTAATCTATATAATCTAATAATCTATCTATCTATCTATCTATCACATGTAATCCTGTCAGCTTTCCAGAGAAGGTTAGTTCGCAAAAACCAACTAATGTAACTTGGGTTTAAGTTTAAATTAAAAAAAAGCGGGAGGGGGGGATTGGGGGGAGGGCGCAGCGCCTCCCCCCAAAGCAGAATGCAAGCACCTCTTCTCACATGTTACGTTGCTAGTTTTCAAGAGAAGGTTGGTCATGTGATACTCAGGGATGTAAATACTGTGCAAAATGCATCTTACATGAAAATCAAGTATTTAAAGCAGGCAAAGCAAAAAAAAGCAGAGAAGCAAAAAAGCAGAGAAGCAAAGGAAACGCACAAAAGCAAAACAGCAGAAAGGCAAAGAAGCAGGAAAAGCAGAAAAGCAGAGAAGCAGGAAAAGCAGGAAAAGCAGAGAAGCAAAGAAACAGGAAAAACAAAAAAGCAAAGAAGCAGGAAAAGCAGAAAAGCAGAGAAGCAGGAAAAGCAGGAAAAGCAGAGAAGCAAAGAAACAGGAAAAACAAAAAAGCAAAAAAGCAGAAAAGCAGAGAAGCAGAGAAGCAGGAGAAGCAGGAGAAGCAGAAAAGCAAAAAAGCAGAAAAGGCGAGAAGCAGGAGAAGCAGAAAAGCAAAAACGCAGAAAAGCAGAGAAGCAGGAAAAGCAGGAAAAGCAGGAAAAGCAGGAAAAGCAGGAAAAGCAGGAGAAGCAGGAAAAGCAGGAAAAGCAGGAAAAGCAGGAAAAGCAGAGAAGCAGGAATCCAAAAATGATTCCTAAACCTGATCAAAAAAAAAATCCTAAAATAATTAGCCCTCCATATTATAATATATTATAATCCATCAGAATATATCAGAATATATCATAATATTTTATAATATATCAGAATATATCATAATATATCATAATATATCGTAATATATTATAGTATATCAGAATATATCAGAATATATCATAATATACATACTCTTCTTGATATACACACTATTCATAATATACTTTGACGGACGGAATGCTTATCATCAAACCCTTCCTCGGAGCGATCTTCGCCGCCGAAGTAGCGCTTGCCGCTGCCTCATCCCAAGCTGGAGCCGCGTCTCGGGCAACCGGCAACGTTAACCAATGACGAAAATCCGATGGGTTTGTTGTAACAAAACTAGTCAAAAATAGTTTTCAAGCAAAAACATAAAAGAAAATCCCATGGATAAACAAATCATTTTCCCATCGACCAATATTTTTTTCCACGGCCGTTTGGGATTTAGAATCCTCAGACACAATCGGAGCGATAGGAGAACTCTCACACCAAAGTCACAGTAGGTTTCCCATTCCGAATGACCCAAATTTCTAGCATCTCCAGATTACATGATAGTTCATCCATCAATTTTCATATCCATCATTTTTTTGTTTATGTCACTGGAAGTCGCACAAATAACCTTACATTTGACCTGGTCTCCAGCTTGCCATGGCTCAGCCTTCAATTTTTACCCAAGCTGGGCCCATCTTCAAATCAGATTCAAGCCTTTCTTGTCTATTGATTTCAGAAGATTTCATTATATTTCCAATTATATTTCCCACTATATTCCCATGATATTCCCATTAAACCCCCGTTTGTTGATGTTTGTTGTCTCTTCTTTGCCTAATTTCGGAATGCAGGTCCAGCTAGTCACCCGTTCGAACATGCTATCCATTGTAGGTACATGCGGAGGCTTCCTAAACTGGGAGTAGCATCCTAAATCATCCATGTGAATAGATTTTCCATTGTGAACCATCCAGCTATTGCAGCTATTGGGGATCCTTCATTTATGGAAATCCCCATGTCACAATGTGGGTACTCGGCCTTTCTTGTGGCCTTTCTTTTTCTTGGTGACCAAGGCCTCACACGTGGCAGCAGGTGGCTCGAGGCACTTTTTGATCATCCAACCACAGAATGGATATGTTCATATTCAATCCTACTGGGAAAATCATGAACAATCATCTACATGATGTAAATAATTGCAAATTGGCTGATTTTCTATTGCTATCTTGAATTACCCAAGAGTATCCATGCAGTCAGATAATTCCACCTTTTAGCTTTTGGATCCAGTCAGCTGCGCTACTATCATGCTCATGATATTTTCGGTCGTACCAGGTATCCGAGTTGCAATACATACTACATCAAAACCTAGGTCCTCCAATCACAGGTCCTCTCCGTAGTACCATGTGATCATGTGATACTGAATATTACGGGGTACCCTCTGGTAAACAAACAGTTTGCTATTGAAAATGGCCATTTATAGTGAGTTTTCCCATTAAAAATGGTGATTTTCCATAGTTATGTTAGTTTACCAGAGGGTCAGGGATTCCACAAGATCGCAGCGCAGCACACACCTCCGGATGGCCCACCAAATATCTGGCCAAGCAGGGAAGGTGCTGCGGGACGGCCTCATGACATGTCAAGCACAGCGCATTCCCCTGTCAACATATGGGGGGTTCCTGAAATGATTACATAATTATCTATTCCATTGACAATTTGTCTGTCATTATATAATTATCCATTGACGATGTTTTGTAAATGCATTTCAAATGGTTTTTGTTTTGATGACCTTATCAACAGCGCCTCAAAGCGACGAAAAACAACAGGGATTCCGTGCCTGAAATTGACCTGAAATTAACACCACAATCAAGGACTGGAACTGGACTCTTACCCGGAAAAGAAGAACATAACACCTCGGAATTTCCAGGTACATATAAATCATGATCTATTCCATCAAATCCCATTCACAAGCCATTAATAAGCCATTACGATCCGTTGGATGATCTTCGAGGTAATCCAATCTATCAACTCCAATCAGCCCAGCCCAAGCATTCGGGCCTCCAGATCTGTCTCAAAGCCAGTGAGACCTCCCACGCTCCAACAAAAACTTGGGAATTACCGTGCTTTAACACTGGAAGAGGCACCCAACACATCCCAAAACATGGGAAATCTATGGAAATGTTGGATGTGTTTCAGCACCAAAAGGGCAATGTTGACCATTTATATTGATGTTTTTGGTGTATTTCACTAGGCTGTTGGATTAAAATCTGGAGGTGCATGTTGGTGATGTGTCATTCTGTGGGTCCAATGCAAAGACCTGCTATAAGTTGCTTTATTTACTGTAAGTAGGCTGCCTCTTGGAGTTATGGTGGAAACATAAGCCAGCTTACATAAGTGAAGGCCTGTCTTGAATCTTTCACTATTTACATTAGTAGTAAGTAGGAAGACCATAGTTGGAATTGACTTAATTAATGTACTCAATTAGATACGACTAGTGCTAATAAAAAAAGGCAAGTGACAATCATATGTATATATGCTGGATGTTTATGTTTTTTTGTTTTGTTTTTCCGTAATCAAATCATCTAACAGTGCTATAAAGGGCATACGACTAGCAACAAAAACATGTGTTTCCATGAAAGTGATAGTTCTTTGTCCACTGCAAACCTTCAAATTATACATCCTGATATATCCTGTGGATATCGCTTCCCGGAAACGCGTGTAACCGCTCATCTGGCATTGACAATTTCATATCATTTGTTGGACAAACAAACATCCATTGTACATATATATATATATATACATACCTAATCTTTAACATGGATGTGTCTTAGTTGATAGAGAACATTATGATTAACCAATAGATTTGGGGTATTTTGTTTGAATAATCTTCTGTGGACTTTTCCGTTGCCAGGTTGAATTACCAGGGAATGGGGCGGTGATATATCCGCGCTCTCGAAGGTCCTGCTTCAAGGCTGTTAAACATAAATGTGAGTATATTATACTGTTTTTTTTTGTCATTCTCCCATCTGGCACTGCTAGGAAGATACGTATAGGAAGATACAAGAAGATCCGTCGCCGGTTCATGTTTCAAGTCCTAATAATCGCTTCTCTTGCTGGAATTTGTAACAGGGATGATCTTCGGACCATTTGAGTTTTTGAAAAAGCCAACAGCAAGATGTTTTGATACATACTGAGATTCCAGTGTAGTGTTTGTCATCTTTGCCGATGCTGTGCACAAGCTGGTGATTTCGGAACGAGGTAAAGTTGATGTTGAATATGTTGTTGAAGGATGTTGAAGGTGGGTTGCTTCCAGGACTAGTATGTCAAGGTTTAACAGCTAACAACCATTTACATCCATTTACTGGGTTCAGCAAGACCGCCTATATTAAGCGTTCCTATACTGATTTGACTGGGACCATAGCCATTGCATTGAGAGCATGCTGTATTTTGCTGAGGATTTTCTTGGATAAGTGCCAAAACGGGTTATACTGTGGGGGACTACGACACTTATCTCTTGAGAAGAGGTCCATGAGTCAATAGTGATTTGGAGTTCGGTCCCTCTGCTTGGCTCAGGAGTTTCACCTAGATGCCTGGGATGCCTGTGATTCTTGACCCGTGCAACCGAGTTGATTGCTTCGAAACGAAGCTGCTTCCGGTGAAGCGCCCTGTTCTAAGCACAGCGGTGAATCATCTCCTTTCTCTTCTGCAATAAACACACAGTGCTTTGCGGTGAAGTATGTTGAAGTACAAAATCTCATGCACTTTCCATTTCTTCTGATTCAAAACTGCATATGCTCCGATCGGTCCGATCGGTCCATTTTTGACTCGGAATTCCATGCAACTTCCACCGGCCGAGGTGTGAGTGATCTGAGTCGTGCCCCTTTCTCAATACGAAAGGTCGCTGGAGAGAGGCACCTTCATAGCCATAGGATCCATGTATGCTATATATGGTAACATGGATCCCATCAATATACCCCCAATGTTAGCATATATAGCATACATGGATCCTATGGGATAGCAATTCCATGAACTTGTTCTTTTCTTCGGTGGTGTGTTCCAAGGCTGACTCGAGTGTGGTTCCTTCTGGCAACCAGAGCAGATCCATTTCCGGTCTAATGGCTTCTGAGTCGTGCAACTTGTAGAAAACTGAATCTTGACGGCTCATGCGCTGCACTGTGTCGATGATGTCCGAGTGTCTACACACCATGATACCACATTATGATCCCGGCCGTCAAGGAATACATCCCTGACACAAATAAGGGCGTGTACCACTATAGTAGTCTATCACCATAGAATCCCGTGTGTCTTTGTCTTTGTCTATGAATATGTACTGTGATATAGATTGATATAGATGTGTGACAAGAAGTGGGATATGTGATAAGTATTTAATAGACAATCACCTTATCATTACCACTATACATTGATATAGATTGATTAATATTATGTGACTAATGTAATTCTATGTGTGGATGTGGCTATGTGCCTAGGTGACCCACGTCGATGTACTCTCACCATGTCAAAACGGCTAGACTCCTTTCCATGATTTTGGTGGCCCTAGAGTTAAAGCCTTTGACCAGTTGTAAATTGTTATAAAATGTTATAAATGGGATGTTCATTCCATAAATGGGTTTACAATATATGTATATATATATATATACTGAGGTGACTTACTGACTTACAACTATAATAGCTTTGAGGAACCCTTTTTTGCCCCTTGCTTATGTCGCCACGGGATCTCCATGACCCTGTCCTTGCTGAAAAATGCCCTATTGTTTCGCTACATCCTATCATTGGCGCACCTCAATACCGGGTCTTAAGATTAACATTAAGTAAGATTAACTTGTTACTCAAAAAGTACCCTGTAACAGTTAAAATATCAATCAGCATAGTTTTATAACGTTTTATGCACGGAAACAAAAAGGAACCTACCAACCCAAGGTGTTTCAACCCAGTCTCCGTTCCCAGGCCACCATCCAGAAATGCTGCGCAGACATCAGCGTCTTCTGCCACTTTGGGATCCTACGCAGAGCTGACAGCCACGTCGAGTGTGACGAGGGGACACGAAAAGAAATGCTGGGAACTGACATGAAATGATGGCATCTAATGGGATCTAATGGCATCTAATGGGATCTAATGGGATCAAATGGCATCTAATGGCATCTAATGGGATCTAATGGCATCTAATGGGATCTAATGGAAATGATGGGATCTATATCTATATCTATCTATATATATATAGATATGATTCATATGATGCTATAATCTAATATGGATACAATCATCTAATTTCATGTCGAGGCCACCATATTTCCATGGTCCTCTTGCACCTGCATCGTTGAAACATGTTGCATGTCGCGGACAGCTTCTGTTTGACAGCTTCTGTTTGCCAATCTCATGTCATATGAATGTCTCTCCCTGGGTCTCTGTCCGTAGGATAAGCCACACTTAAAGCATGTTCCCAATAATCAAGAGTAATCAATAGTAATCAATAGTTATACATGGGATTATCATTCCATAAATAGGCTTATACTGGGGTGCCTAGTGACTTACAACTGCTATTTCGGGCCATTTTATGCGAAGTCTCCGAAGTTTTCCATGTCGGGCTCCCGCACCAAAACGCCCACATTCCGCAGCCAGATTGGTTCCTAGCAGCGAATCTTCACTGGTGGTTGAGCCCTCTGGAAAATCATGGACTAAACGTCAGTTGGGATCATAAAATTCCCAAGTGAATGGAAAAAATAATCCAAATGTTCCAAACCGCCAACCAGATATATACATATATAATATAATATATATATATATTGTATATCATTGTTGCTTGAACTTCCATGTTCTGTGCTAGAGTCTGAACGTAATTCTGAGTAGTTGAAAACCCGGTCAATACATTTGTCAAAGCATGTTCTGCTTCAGTGACATCCATTGTCACATGAACTGCGCAGGCAAAAACAAATATTTTATTTAATTGATATGATATGTATATATGGTTATATATATACACATTAATACATAATTATATATAATATCCGCTACAGTATATCGTATATCCTATAAAATATATCCATTGACCATTGTGCTTGCCTGAATGTCCCATGAACATCACCGTACCAACCTCGTCGCTCTCAGCGTCGTCGGCCTCATCGGCCTCAGCCTCATCGTCCTGCAGGCGGATGCCCGGTGAGAATCGCTGGGAAATCCACCCATTCAATCAGAAAATACGAAGAATTCCTAAAAATATCATCTACAAATGGCTGGAAAATCATCTGCAATTGGTGATCAGTGGGGAATTCATGTGAATTCAAGATTTAGGGTTGGTATTCATGTATATAAATTACATAACTGAGGACATCTTATATAGATCCTTGAAGCTTCACGGACCACAAACACACACACAGACCCACGAAATTCAACTTGGAACCCAAAGTATGACGTATCCAAAACCTGCCTTAATCCTCCACACTTTCGAGGGTTCCATGATACAAGACTCAGAGGGTACCCCCTCAATAGCTGGCCCCACCATGTTTCCGGATACCTTAAAAGCCATCCCCAGCTATAAACGCCACGCCAATGACCATGAAGGCAAGGGAAGCTGTACTTGGGGGATGCCCTTCTATAGCTAATAAGTGGTATTTTTCGCCATGTGGCTATCACCCCAACTGCGCGCCCCAAGATAAGCCGAAATTGGAGACAACTGTTGTGAGAAAGCACCGATTCTTTCTTGGATCAGCAATAAATGATTAACAATCACTATAAACGATTAATAACCACTATATATATAATGGAAAACCATATAATAGTGATAATCACTATTTTATATCCCTATATAGAATCACAATAATCACTATTAATCATGATTAATCATTTCCAGGTCTCATCACTTGTTTAACAAATGACCTGATACCAGTTTTTCCTTGAACCATCCATCTGGATCGCTCCTGCGGGGTGTAGTCCACCTGGAAGTCAGAAAGTTCGCTCAGTGCCATGGGGATTTCCAGTTATCTGAACAAATGGATTTCCACATCCATCAATGTAATACGTATGATATCGATTGATATCGTATGATGATGGTTGTCAATGTTGTTCTCCCACCGAACAACTGAAACACGTGTTGCTGATTTAAAAGCATTGATGCTCCGAATTGGAGAGGGAGAAAGCCTCAATACTGCGCCAACAATAAACAATGGTTCGAACGGTTCGAGGTAAACAGGGTAGCCCCATGCCAAATCAGGAGTGTGGATTCAGTGTGTTCACACTTAAATGGTAGCATGGATAGGTGTAGGTGATGCCATCTCTCCAGTTTCTGTCCATATGTCCAAACGATATCGCGCTCAGCAACTGACGGTACTGCAAATAACCCTACTTAATAAATACTCCAGTTGCATGGCTATCCCATTCATAACACGGAAAAACTAACCACATGCAACTCACATAATCAGCTGATCCTTCAAAAGCAGTCCGGTGTGTCCCTACTTTTAAACGGGGCCCTATGAATCCCAATTCACTACACAATCAGCGATCCGCGGCAAAGCAGACACATGGGTAGTTAGAGTCCTCCAAAGAAATGGCAAAAACAAAGGCAAATTAGTCCACTTATGTGCTCAACAAAATCCCTTCCCCATAATTCAATGACCACCCAGAACTCTCTGGTTTAGTACTGGCCCTATTATGGAGGACCATACGAGGGGTTATGTGAATGGGGTAGGTAACATCTTTATTAAATCTCCAATAGAGCAATAGATTGGACATCCCCTACAGTGGCCGACGTGAGGTCAAAAGATGGTTTTCACTGTTTTCATCCAGATGATTGCTATAAGATTCTTGCTACCCTCTGGTAAACAGACAGTTTGCTATTGAAAATGGTGATTTATAGTGGATTTTCCCATTGAAAATGGTGGATCTTTCCATAGTTATGTAAACATTTACCAGAGGATAGCTGGGTAGCTCATGGACTTTTATTCACGGATGATATCCCCGGGCCTCCTCCAGAGCTGTATGGAAGCCAAGTCCTCCGTCAGGTGAATCGAGTCACGACATTGGGATGATCTTCTGGGGATTCGATGTAGGGAAGCATCGTTGATCATCAGATCATCATGGTTTGAATAGAGAATTATCATGTTATTCATGTTAGATCATGTTAGATCATGTTAGGATCTCACATGATTGAATCATCAATTCTTGTGAATTGTCATGGATTTGCCATGATGTAAGAAACAAATAGATGACATGGAAACATCTGGGAATTTCTGAGTGCCACCAAGCATGGAACTGACTTTTCCACACCAACATGGACATGTTCACAGTAGGGGAAGCAATTTATGGGCCGATTGGATTGTGAATTTTGTAGGTCCTTGGGAGAATGGTTAGACCACAAATATGCATGGATCAACAACCGGGTACAGCTGGTTGAAAACCAGGAACACAGTGATGCTGTACAGCTGGATGTTCATGCCATCAACATCCGTCACAGAAATGGCTGTTTTTGGTGTTATAAAAGCGATCCCAGGGTCCCTGGCAACACCGAATGCCCGGCTCCGCATCGCTGATTTTCGTGGTTGCACTGCCAACCGCAGTGTGCTGTGTCCGGTCACAATCGATAGCAGCAGCGCTGTTGGTGTACGCAATGGCCCAATGAAAAAAAAACACGTTTCACGACTCAATGATATAATGACATATATACAGTATATATATATTATTATTATTATTGTTATTATTATTATATCAGCTTTAGAGCAGCTGTTTTGCCGCAAAAGCTCGATCAATTGTATCCATCATTCCCTTAGCAACAGGTTTGGGCATTTTCTCCCAAGTGGCCGAGGAATGTCCCAGTCAGTCGTTCGGACTTTAGGCTGTCAAAAGTCATCACAGGATAGACTGCGCTTGAAACACCAACCACTGCCTGAGCTGGCTTGGCATTTTACTCTATACGACAGCTTGGTCAGCCGGGGTCTCGCAGACGAGTGAGTGCCTGTTCTTGATGGCCGTGACACAAAGATACAAAGAAATACACAAATAATCTGATCATATCTGATCTATATTGGCGGTCCAAAGAGAAGAAATACATAGTCAAAGTGCATGAGCTTTTGCCCCAGCTACCAATCCTACCAGAACTGAAGATGCCAAGATGTAGTGGATTGGGATGCTATTTCAGACACCAAAATTCCATAACAGATTATTGCAGTAACTCCAAGTAATCATGGGAAATACAAGCTCTCTTGAGACCACCAATTGGATTGCAAACCACTTCATGCATGTATATGTATGGCAATATGTATATATATATATACAGTTTATATGTGGGGATGGGTCAAAACCTTATACCCTGGTGAACATACAAATAGCTGGTAAATGGATGTTAATCCCCCTGAAGTTGCTATTTATAGGTATTGATCCATAGCCATATCTGATAGATTAATTGTGTGCAGCTGGACTTGAATTCAATTAAAAAGTCAAACGTAAATATGTTTTTTCCCAAGCAGTGAGTCCCTGCGCAAAAGATGGCAAAAAAACATCACTGTACAAAGCCCAGAATAACAAGACATGAGTGCCAATTGCAGATTTAAAGAATATTTGTTTTACACGTCGAAGGGTGTGTGTACTTGAAAACACACAAGCACGTGCTGATTCACATTCTAGCTATGCAAGCTGGTTCTGTGATGCTTTGTGAACTTTTGATATTTTTCGACCCCTAAATAGCTGATCGCTCCCTGCAAATTGGTCTTTGGTATGTTTGGGATTTGAGACTGTTCGGTGAGACTTCCCTTTGGCATGTGGCTGACCCCGCCCTTCTTGAGGTACACGTGGCTGACACACGATGGACAAGAAGACCCACCGATTGCAAACAGCAACGAATGACCACAGGTGCACTTCTGATGAT